AGAAGAGAAGCTTTTCATGACAAGTTGTGACTGCGCTCTCTGCCTCAGTGTGCCAACTCAAAAATAACATCATTGATGTACTTCTGAGGGAGCTCTTAGGTGCAGTATTTTGTGGAGATTTGGGATGTTTAGAATCTGAGAACTGGAGATCCAGCCAAGTAATGAGGGTAGGGGAAATCAGTGAGGTCTGCCTATTTAAAATGCACATGGAGTGGAGCAGTGACACTTAATGAATAGAACAGAATTCAGGTGTAGATATTTAATGAGGTATTTTCCTTCGATTCAGATACAGTATTGTTGTCGTACCTTTCAGTTGTGCCCATTTTCAAACATCCCTTTTGGGAATAGATCTTTTTACTAGTCTTGATTTCTGAAATGTTGGTTAGTAAACAGTAGTGATGGAACATAGCATGCGTCAATGTCAAGGAAACTGGGCAGTATTAGACAAATTGACAGATGAGCAAATTTGCAGTTGATGTTAGAAATGATTTTATGGTGATGCTCTCAAAGCTTTTGGAACCTGTAGCATAACGTAAATATATACATCCTTGCCAGTAACTGGGAGCTCTAGGCATGAGTCCAGCATGTACCATTGCCTTTCATTTTAGGTATTTAATCAGCTGGTTTTTAAGATCTATATTTTAGGTATGCTATGGCTCATAATGGCTGGCTGGGCAAAATACTAGCAAGTATTTTAATCCAGTAGATTTTAGCTACTAATAGATATTATATATTAGCAATAAGATATAATAGATGTATTGGGAACACTTGTATGTTTGAGCTTCACGTTATCTGAGTATAGTGTGGTTGTAATAAAGCAGATTTAAGAGAAACCACTCACCTTGTGGCCTACCCCACCCAAAAAAAGAAAAAAAAATCCATAATATACTTAAGAAGCATTGCTGGAGTTAAAGAAAGAAAAACCCATACAACAACAAAAATCTCTCCTTGCTTGTCATTTTCAAACAATAATGTTGAAAGAATAATAGGAAAACAAATATTCTTGACAGTTTGCATTCTTTACCTTTCTCCAATTCTTTATAAGGATGAACTTGACCATTGCTGTAGTGTAGATGTACAAACAGTAAAAGAGATGGGTTGAAGAACTGTCTGTCTCTATGAACTCAAAATCAACTAATATCTCAGAATGGATCTGATAATTGCAGCATTTGAAATGCAAGAAGGGAAAACAATATTAGAGGTTGCTATAGTGCATGGACATGAGGAAATTGGATTGTATTAAGGGGAGGTCATATTACTGCTTTCTGTGTGTTTGTTTTGTGGTTTGATAAAATTTGTCTGTTGCGGATTTTGGGGTGTTTTTTTTTTTCAGTACTGGATTTTTTTTTTGCACATTTGTGACACTTGGGTACCTTTTGCTGTCATATTTTAGTACTAGGAAAAAAGATAAATCAATAATAATAAAACAAAAATATAACTTGCTGTAAAATATCAGCTTGTTTTGCTCCGTACTTAGCCTTTTTTCCATGCATGTAAGTTTAATATTTACCTAGAGACACTATTGCAGTATCAAAGAGTAGGTTTTATTGCAAATTCTAACAATGAATTTGTAGAAAACTAATTTTTTTTTTTTTCCTTTTTCCCCAACTATGAAGTTCCTTTTCAACAGTAACATTTCCCTTGAGTCTTTCCTTCAGTGGTTACAAAAGAAGGGAACCTAACAGGGATTTGTGGAGGGCGGGTGTAATACTTGGTGATAACTGCTTGTTATCTTGTTCGTCCTGCCAGGAAATAGGAAGGTAGGGAGGGGATACTCTGAAATAAGCCTTTTGGGTTAGGTGGCGAAGGAAGATTTCCAAGTAGTGTTGAAGCCTTACAGAATGTCCCCTCTCATACAGTACCAAGTGAGCAGTAAAGGCTGCCTCTTACCTCTCTGTTTTGCACGGATGGCGAGGGTTGGCGTGGTATGGCAAGAAGCATTTTATTGACCTCGCTTAGCAGTGGAATGAGGCCTGATAGACTTTGCTCTGTTCTTCTGGAACAGTTTATCTATAACCAAATGCAGAACCATTTTGCTCTAGGTCACATCTTCCCGGATCAAAAATTGGAAACAAGACATTGTTCAGGTCTGTGTTCTTTCACATGATTCTGTTTGTGGTTAAAGAAGTTTTCAGAATAAAGTCATGCAAAGTTACATTCTTACTGCCTCCAAACTAGTGCTTTTCCACACTTGCTACAGTAACACTAACGACTGATTCCATTAGATTTAAGATACCAGCGATCTCTGAAGTTTATGGCACTCAAGGTATTTCTTGTGAGTTATGTGAAATACCAAATGACAAGGTCACATACATGTTTCCTTTAGAACATTTAAAAAAAGTATTGCTACAGGGAGAAAAATGTCATCCTCTTCCTTCTGCTTTCCAGTCTGTTCTGGCCCTGTAGGCATTTAGTATTCAGTCTTCTTTCTTAGGGCATGATTCAAAGGGGGGAATGTGGGAGAGACTGATTTGCAACCCAGCCCTGGGTTAGCTGTGAGCAACCAGGAGTTCAGTTTCTTTCTGATCTTGTCTCAGTTAGGAATAATTAAGCAGACAAACCCTGTATATCACAGTCTCTAAATTATAACAGCCCTGCTCGTCCAGCATGTGTTGTGGTGTGACCTTTGTGTTCAGGCTTCTGCAGGAGAGTGGCTGCTGGCCGTGCAGCACTTCATGCTCGAAATATTTCCCATTGGGTTGGACAGTGTTATTTATGGTCTTGCAGAGCCTTTAAGAGTACTGACTTTTGCTTTCACCTGACTCCATAAGGTCGAAGTGAACCTCTGTTTATGGACTTACCAGTGTTACGAGTTTCTTCACAGTGTATTGCCTGAGGAAAAAAATGGGGAGTCTTCTGGTCATGTGCTAGTGAAAAAGACTCTTGTCCTGTTTCACAACATTGTCCCCACCTAGGACTTCTCCTCTGAACTTTTCTCAAGGACACTCATGATTCTGCACCCTCTCTTTCTCTTACTCACTGCCTATATGTGTGTGCCTGTTTTTTTTTTTTCTTTTTTTTTTCTTTTTTTTTTTTAAACAGATTGAAGGGTCTTCATGTGTTAAAATGATCCGCTGAAAGCTGGTCTGTACCCTGTGGTCACTGTTGTGAGAGAGGTGAAAGAGAAAGGGGAGGATCAGAACTGTGCCCAGAACTCAATATGTAACACAAGGGGTACCTTATGGCTTGTTTTTCCCTCCCCAGATACTCCCTTGTGTACATTTTGGGTTTCTAGTTCATTCTTTTGTCCTTCTTTACTTTTGTAACATGACACATGAAAACGTGAAAGGTAACACATCGTCCAGAATGAGGAAGGACGCTGAATTTGTTTCTTCCACACTGGCCGTTTGGTTACTCTGCCTCCCCCGGTGTGCTTTAACGCACTTGCTGCCTTGTTTACCCGGGAGCTCTGCAGCATGCCAGGGAGGGGGGCTAGCCTCTGCTAGTCTGCGTGCGTGAAACCTTGCGAGTGCTGGCATGAAAACGGGCTGGGAACTCTTCCCAGCTTCACCACTAAGTTAACGTGACGCTGTTTGGTTTATAAAATGTAGCTGTTTCCTCCTGCAAGGCAAAGGATTTTATTTCCGGCATGGCAGTGAAATGTAATGTGATTATGGGATAAGCACGCAAACACTTGGGGTAGAGCTCGTGATCTTGTCTGCTGTGAACTCGATGTTTTCAGGGCAATAATTACTCTGGGAGCTGAACTCACAGAAACACTTTTTAAGATGTTTAAATCTACTCAATAATATAGTTCTCTGAAAATCAAATACAAGTGCCTCTTGTCAAGCATCTCTTTAAACAGGCCGTGAGGTTTGTTTATCATGGGAATTTATTTACTTATTTATAGAGAAAGTGCTTGATATTCATCTGCTAAAACTGAAACATTTGAAGATCTCTTCCATGATTGTAAAGTTTTAACGTAAGCATTGTAGTTTTCTCTGTTGCCCTTAAACATATTTTCTGTAAGATTCCCCCATAACCAAGGAACTGGCATGTTTAAAAATAGTAAATGTTTCTTTTGCCCTTGTTAGTCCTCAAAACTGTGTTTCTTGCAGTAGAGTTGACTTGAAAATAAGTAACTGTGACTCATTTACTCTTCCATGGTAGTGAAATATTTTAGGTTACTATGTCCATCCCAATCCTTATAGTCCATAATTCAAAGTACTTTAGTTAGTAAACAGTTGGTTGCAAAAATACACAATGACAGAATAATGAAATACAATTAATAAATGTTAGGTGCTTTTCCCAGAAGCTGGATGGGTCATACATGTATGTGCAAGGGCTTTATGGGTCTTTACTTTACTGTAAAGAAAAACAAACATAAGCTGCTCCAGTTGTATCATTATTTTTGGTCTTGGGAAACGGCTAGCTCATAAGTGGTGACATTTTTGCAGTATTCTGAGTATACCCTATTGAGTAAGGCAACGGACGTATTTACAGATGACTACTGAGCTTATCCACAGAACAGGCACTGTGGTAGCCTTATTTTGCCAAGTGCTAAGAGGCTTTTAGAGAACCATCTCGCATCCAGTCTTCAAGAGCTGGGTCCTGCACTGCTGAAGCAAAGGGAGTACTGGCAGTGTGTAAATGTTCAGTCCTCAGCACAGTGAGGACATTGTGGTGACTGACAGCTATAGGAGCTGTTGGAGTAATATGACTGTTGATATCTGCGTTGTGGGAGGCCTTGGAAAAACTTTTTTTTTTTTTTTTTTAATGAAAAAGGCTAGAATTTGATGTTGTTTCTTAGGTACTGGTAGAAGCTGAACCCTACATGCTGCTTGTATCACATAACCCTTTACATGTAGGCAATGTGAATTTACATAAACATGTATAAACTTTTACTTTGTTCATGATATTTAGTCTTTCCCAGCTCTGCTGTAGAATGGTTCTTCTGGTTAGAAATGATTTGTAACATCCAGAACTAGGACACAAAGATATAGAAAATGGAGACTAAAAGAGATCATTCCATTAATTGAAATTTGATTTTACTATTTCAGATTTTTCTTCTTGCCTGCCCTCCATGTCGGGTTGCAATGATTCTCTTCAGGTAATGCCTCTTCCTTACTGTATTTCTGTCTACTTGCATAATGTATTTTAGAAATTAATCATGGCATAAGCCATTAAAATATTAAGGTGTGTATTCAGTAGGAAAGAGATGTTGGTTGGTTTGAAAAGTGACACCCTGAAAAGGGTCATAGCTTAAACTGTGAGTGCTGAGCCACATACCCTTGGTTCTTTTGTGCCGCTGGTGGTTTCAGTCTGCCCTTTCTTGTCTTACTCTAGGCAATGACTAGAAAAATGATCTGGGGACGTGCCTCATAAGTTGCTTCAGGAGTGGTACCGTCTGGCTGCAAATTTTTTCTGCTCTTTCTTCTTTGGGCTGAGAGTAGGCCAAATACAGAGATACTGTGTTAGTATTTCTTCATCTCAGAGGGCATGCAAAATACGTCTGGTGTCCAGGAAATCCTGGATTTGCTATTCATTTGCAAGGCCACAATACCTGTTGCTTTTCAGAATTAACCTCTTTGTTTTCTTACACCCTGACATATAAATGACGTTTGAAAAACCGTTTTGGGTTTGCACTACATTTTTTTTCCCCTTTAAATTACAAACAACTTTGTAATTCTTTATAGAGTTTATGGCAGGCAGTGGCTGTGGAGAGTTTATTCTTTAGTTAGTTTACTTTAAATAGGTGACAAAATCAGTATGTATGCAGATTTTGTGTTCTTTTGATGCAACTGTGGTTCAGGGAGAGGTGACTGAAAGCTATACAAAATATTGCAGTATAATACTACTTTCCTGCCCTATTCTTTGCTTAGACTGCCTTTAGCAGCCAGGCCTTCTAGGAAGGTAAAGGTCATTACAGAAAGCAATTTTATTTAGTTAAGTATTTAAATGTGTGTTTAAAGAGAAGTTTTGTCCTTATTATTGCATTTAACAGTGGTTTTATTCAAATTCAGTGAAATTTTCTCAAATCTCTGGCTGCTTCTTATTGGAGAGATCCTACACAAAATATGTGAAAATATTTCATTTCCCGTGAAAATAATATCACATCTCTTTTTTAAGGTTGCAGATGCATATGCTGAATGGGGCCCTCTTGGCATTACTGTTTCCTGTTGTTAATACACGCCTGGTGAGTGTATTGTACCTTTCTCCTCCTTTCTAATTTATTTTTAATTATTTTATTTGTAAAGTTATTTGATCTTTGATTTATTTCACCGTCCATAGTTCATTTTACCAAGCTGTAGATTCCTAGGACAGGTTGTTATGATGATAGGCAAATATAAATTCTGGATTTTTTTTTGGTGATCGTGTTTATAAATCAATGTGGAAAGTCAACACTGCTATATTCTAGGTGTAGCAAAATTATTTTGTCAACTCCATTCTTGCCTTTAAACAGCGGGAGAACTTAAAGGCTTTGATATAGCCTTCATAGGATAGCATGTGGTATGTGCACAAGGCCATGGGACCTGATGAGGTGCATCAAAGAGTCCAGAGGGAACTGGCGGAAGAAGTTGCTAAGCTGCTATCCATCTTTCTTGATGTCAAGGTAATCTGGTGAGGCTCCCAGTGACTGGAAAAGGGGAAACATAACCCCCATTTTAAAAAATGGAAAAGGGAAGACCTGGGGAACTAGGGGAACTACAGGCCATCAGTCTCACCTCTGTGCCCAGCAAGATCATGGAACAGATCCTCGTAGAAGCTCTTGTAAGGCACATGGAAAACAGAGAGGTGATTGGTGACAGCCAGCAGGGCTTCGCTAAGGGCAAGTTGTGCCTGGCCAATTTTCTGGCCTCATGATGGGGTTACAGTGCCGGTGGAAGAGCAACTGATGCCATCGACCTGGACTCCTGCAAAGCATTTGACACTGTCCCACGTGACATCCTTGTCTCTGCATTGGAGAGATGTAGATTTGATGGATGGAGTGCTCAGTGGGTAAGGAATTGGCTGGATGGCTGCACTAAGAGTTGAGGTTAACAGCTCAATACCCAGGTGGAGACCAGTGATGAGTGGTGTTCCTCATTGGTCAGTATTGGGACCAGCACTGTTTAACATCTTTGTTGGTGACATGAACAGTGGAATCTAGTGCACCCGCAGGAAGTTTGCCAATGACATCAAGCTGTGTGGTGCGGTTGATACGCTGGGGGGAAAGGATGCCATCCAGAGGCACCCGGGCAGGCCTGAGAGGTGGGCTTGTGTGAACCTTGTGAAGCTCAGCAAGGCTAGGTTCAAGGTCCTGCACCTGGGCCGGGGCAATCCCAAGCACAAATCCAGGCTGGGTGATGAGCTGATGGAGAAGTACTGCAGCGTTCTGCAGAGAAGTACTTGGTGGTTGAAAAACTGGATATGACCTAGCAATGTGTGCTTGCAGACCAGAAAGCTGTTCATACCCTGAGCTGCATCAGAAGCGTAGCTAGCAGGTAAAGCTAATTCTCCTCTTCTACTCCACTCTTCTGAGACCCCGCCTGGAGTACTGCATTCAGCTCTTGGGGCCCCCAGCATAAAAAAGACATGGACCTGTTGGAGTGAGTCCAGAGGAGGCCATGGAAAATTCCAAATATTGTTGTTGTCTGTCACCACCTCTCCTCCAAAATTAAACACAGCAGTTTGTTTTTTTTCCATCCAAGTTTTCATGTCTGCCAGTATCCCTAGTAAGATTCTTAAACCTACCAAGACTTAACGGTAAGAGAAGTTATTTCATATGGCTCAGACTTAGGGTATTTCTAAGTTTTTTTTTTTGTTTTTTTTAAGAGCTGTTATGTTTGCACATGTGTGTATATGTATACATACATGCAATGTGTGCATTTTTGTCAGCTAAAATACCTGTGACTTAAATGTACAGGAACTGTCTTAAAACATTATCTACACACTTGCAGTGTCCGGATAAAGTATTCATATATATATATGTTTCTGTATAGCACATGAGTTAATGATATTAACAAAATTGTTAGGGACTTCAGGCAACATTAAAAATCTCATTAGTGGTTGTCCATTTGCAAATCTTGACAGGATTAGGTAAAGAAATCTGCATCCGTATTGAATTTTACGGATGATAAGCTGTGCTGATTGGCCACCCTTGTAGCTAGGAGACTTGAAAACTGACAGTTTTATTGTGGGCTTGTATATAATTTACTTCTTCCATTAAGATGAGAAAACTTTGCCCTGAGATACAGTTTAGTTACTAGAGAGAGGATAATTCATCTGTAGGTTTTGACGTATTAGAAATGATCTTCCACACAGCATAAGACACACAAACAGAAAGCTGGATCACATTCTTCAGATTTCAGTTAATTCAGTAGTACAATAACCCTAGAGTTTATTCAAGTTTTATGCCGTCCTTCCTAATCTGGTAACTACATATTATTTTCTATCTCTCTTTCTCTCTTCCCCAACATGTATATCTGCCTTGCGTACCTTCTCAATGTGGTAGTAAAACTAATAACTGCTGAAGGGGCATAAAATGAGTAAAATACTTTTTTTTTCTCCCTGATAACTTGAGAACAGTTCTTATTTTGTATTTCAAACTACTTAGTCTGTAATTAAAACTTTAGCATTACAAAATTATTTTTCTTGGTAACCTTTTTAGGATTAAATGTTGAAATATTTAATCATTTGCTTATATTTTATCTGCTATTATAATTGATCCCATTTACATTAGGGAGATTAAACAGGAAAAATAAGGACCACTTAAAAAAATGTTTTCTTAATTAGGGATAAAGGAGCCAAAGGATAATGTCCAAGAGCAAGTATTCTTGGAATAAATACAGCTTAGGATATTTTTGGCTTAACAGCTGCTTGCTAGGCTGGTCTCTTTTCAGTGTTTCTTCTGGCACAAGGTAATTTGGGTGATGTTTTATAGTGTGGCTACTTTGGTCCAAATTTTCTCATGGTAGACACAATCTGCTCTGTGACTGGCAATTGTTATTTACCTTGAGATTGTCCTGAAAGCAATAAATCTCTCTTACAACTTTGGGAGTTAAAATAAATAAATAAAATTGCAGTAATTCTGTCTATGCTCCATATTCTGGTTTGAAGTATCTAAATGAAAAAACTTTTGACTTGGTCAAGAGTGGTTATCTCCTTACGCCTCATCTTTTTTATTTCACTTTTACAATACTTCAAGACATGGAATTTAATGTGTACATTTCATACAAGAGCTTTGTATTCTTAGTTGTAAATAGTTGTAATGTACAGTGTCTGGCACAAATTAAGAGTGTGAAAATTTGGGCACCTGACTCCAACTGTTCCTCTAGAAGTGGGGAAGGAGATGCTGACTAGGGGCCTGTGGGCAGGGGAATTCTGCTGTCAGTGGGAACTGAAAAGCGGGAGGCTGTTGCCTCTTATCGCTCTGTGAGCTTATATACCAAACTTTTGTATTGCCCTAAGTACCAAAATGCCTTCCTGTTACCTTTCATCATATAAAATGTGTTTTATCCTTAAGTTATTTGATATACTGCTAGAAATTGTGTTGTTGTAGGTAGTTTTTACTGTCTTCAGCTGACGTTCTCCTGACTTGCTCCCTGCAAGTGGATTGCCTATCAGTTATCCTACAGACAGCAGATGTTTGCTGTTGAGTTGCAGCCTTTTTTAACGAAAGTTAGCCTGCTAACTCAGCAAGTTCAGCAGCAGGCATGCACACACTAGCAAATCAGTTATTCCTATGGAGATTAAAGCAGTGAGGTGCAGGAAAAATATTAGATGTAGTTTTCTTTGTATGTATCAGTAAGGTGCAAGGAACAAGAGGCAGAAGATAAAGAATGGAAGACAATCATTACCTCACCAGGTGATGGCTGTTCAGGAACAAGTGGGTGTCAGGATTTATACATACCAGAAGCATGAAGTTATAGGTGACCATAAGATGAATAGTCTGCCATGTGTTTAAGATGCTCAGCTAATCGATTTGCTATTTTCAGAACTGGCAGGGCACCACTTTGGCAGAGAAGGGGGTGGAATTATATGTAATTTTAGGAACTTGAACTATAGGCCTATTTATGCTACAAAACATCACAGTAAGTCAGCTGGAATCCATCAGCCTTTGGTATTCATCTGCTATGCAAGATAATGAACTACTGAACAGATGTTAAAAGTTGTATGGTAAGCATACACATTCATATACTGTGAAGTTGCGGCAGGGTTTTGATATCTAGTCTTAAATGCCAGCCTTGCATCTGAAAATTCAATTAGATTTTAGCTGCGTTTTAAATACTTAAATATCTTTAAGAATGAAGCCTTTATATGTGTGGATGAAATCTTGAAATAATCACGGAGATAAGCTTTACAATGATGAAAAATTGTAGTAGTCTGGGTTTAAATGCAGTGTACTGTGTTGTTTTAAAGAAAATAATCACAATCCGCAGCTTAAATTGGATGTGGCCATGAGTGTTCGGGGAAGATCACTGGTAATTTGAACTTTGGTCATAACTAGTTTTCTCTGTTCCTTTGTGCAGTCTCTTTGCTAAGAAAAGCTATTGCAGTTATTACTGATTTTCTAGTTTAATATTTTCTTTTTACCCCTAATTTTATAGGTGTTTGGCTCTTCCTATATGAGGTCATCTATATGAAACTCTCTGTTGATATATGCATTTAAATGCATTAATTAAGAATCTTTGGATGAATGCAAATTTCAGATATTTTATAAAACAGTCCTGAAACTTTACAACAAAAGCAAAGGCTCCAAAACTTCAAAAACCTAAAAAGTTACCTGAAAGTGATTTTCACAGAAATCCCTTGTTTCATATGTGGGATCTGAGCATCATGAAGTACAGAGATGCTTTTTGCTGTCACATACATTTAACAATCATCAGAAATGTGTTGAACATGCATAGTATTCAGGATGAGTGGAGGGATGACTACTCTTGTGTTCATAAGAGTAGAACATTCCCACAAAAGAGATCTTACTTTATGTATTTAGGTTTCTAAAAGGTTTGGTGCTTGCCATGTTGCAGGAAGGATGAACCGTACTTGGTTATGGTTCTAAATGTTAACCTGTTCCAGGTCATTTCCAGAATACTTACTCCAACATTCGTCACCATTTCTGCTTTCATTTATGTTACTTAATGTATTATAAGCATTTTTTTTTTTTGCATTTATGATTCAAGGCTTCATTACCCTGAAAAAGAAACTTTCACAACT